GATTGGTGAGCCTCTGCGGTGCGCCGTAGCACTGCCTCCTGACAGCGGAGAGCAGGCTCACGAGCTTATAGAGCTGGTCGATCAGGCCGAGCAGCCGTATCTGCTCTCGCCTGTTCACAGCTGAAGGCGTGAAGAGAGTCAGCGTTGTGGGTCTGCTCGAGTCGGCAGCATTACCTCTCTGCTCGCTCGGGGTCATCCTCTAGCTGCACCCGACCGTGCCGCACAGCTTGAGCCGCCCTCCAGCGCTTGCGGGCGGAAGCGGCACCGAACTTACCGAGGCAGCGGACTCCACTCAGCAGCGCAACGGTGCCGGACAGGAGCAGGGCCGAGGCCAGACCTGTCGGCCCGTCTGCCGGCAGCGCCGCGTTGCCAAGTACGGCTTGGAGGACTGCGCCCATGCTCACCCGGAGGGTCGGCGGCGGCCCGGGCGGCGGGGACGGAGGCGGCGGGGACGGAGGCGGCGGGCTCGGTGGCGGGCTCGGTGGCGGCATGGTGGGTGGCGGCACAGAAGGCGGCGGGCTCGGCGGCGGCGGCGACGGCGGCGAGGAAGGGGGCGGCGGCGAGGGCGGCGAGGAAGGGGGCGGCGGCGGTGGTGAGGGCATCGGCGAGGGCGGCGGCGGTGGCAGGGCCGGCGGCGACGGCGGCGATGAGGGAGGGCGTGTGGGCGGATTCGGCGGACGAGGTGAGGGTGGCGGCGGCGGTGGCAGAGGCGAGCGCGCCGGAACGAACGGGAGGAAGTAAGGGATCGTCCTGCAGACGGGGCGCGCGGGCTCAGCACGCGGCACGGCGTGTCCGCTCGTCGCTGGGGAGAGGGCACGCGACGCGGTGTGCAAGACCAACAGTTGTTTCAAGAGAGGCGCACACACTCGCAGCCAGCGCTGTTCCACCTCGGGTCGCAAGTCGAATCGTAGCCGATGGTTATATGGTCGTTGCCCGGCTCGTGGATTTCATCGCAAGCGGCGGTGATGTTGGGGACGAAGCTGCCGTCGCAGCTCACGATGCTCTTGCGCTCCCTGTCAGAGAGCAGGGTACCTCCAGCAATCTCAGTGACCTGGAGGCAAAATGCGACGCCGTTGGAGCAGTGCTGATACGTGCAGAGCCCTGAAGCCGTGAGTACAGAAGATGTTTGGCACGAGCAGCACGATAGGACACCGCACGCGTACTGCAACAGGTTGTTGCAGGTGTTCTCGTGACATAGCTTTCCGTCACCGCCACAGAACTCATTGGGACTGCAACATGCGCCGTTTCCCTCGGCCACGAGGGCAAGGAGAATGGAGAGCTTGAATGGCACATGCTCTCGTCTGGAGAACATGTACATGTACTCTCGTCTCGATTGGGAGCAATTATGTGAGCTTGGCGGTCAATGCTTGCCGGGACCTCCCTGGCGACCCGGTCCAACGCGACACAGCTCTGGCGACGGGTTGAAGTCCAGGATGGTAGGGAAAATTTTGCAATTTTTCGGTGCTGGTAGCCTCCCCAAAACAGGCGCGCGCAGCGCGCCCAGGGGCGCCGCAGGCGCCCCAAGCGGCGCGGAGCGCCGCCGCAGGCGGCGGACAGCAGGTGCGCGAAATTAAACGCCATTTTTGGTTCCGCGGTTTTGCCACTAACATTGAAATCCGGTACAAAACGACTTAGCCGAAACAGCTGACAGACAGACAGAGAGCACACACGTTCGAGACGGGGGTGCGCCGACCGCCGTCGCGGACCCAGTAGAGCTAGATGGTCCCACATGATGCGCCCTTAGCCTCTGAGCTCGTCCTAGACATTTTAGGGAAGCGTGGGCAGACCAGAACGCGGCCACGGCGACGCTCCGAGGCTGTCAGCAGCGCTGGCGGCGATCGTGGCGACGGCGCCTCGCCGCTGCAGCGGCACAGAATCGAGGAAGTGGCGTTGGTGGCAGCATCAATGAGATATGAAGGCGGCCGTAATGCTGGTGGCGCCTTCGAGGGCGGCGGAGAGGGCGGTAGCAGCGACGGCGATCGAGTCATGTGGCAGGGGTGCGAAGATGCAGCAGGGAGGCTTGAGTTAGCGACGCGGGGCGGTGGCGTGCCAGCAGGTAAGCGGCCGCGGCGGAGAGCAGGTGCGCGAAATAAAGGCCAATCTTGAGATATCCATTTTGCACCACCTTTGGATTTCTGGTACAAATTGACTTGTGGATCTTGAAGGCACGCGCAAGAGCGCACCAGGCAAGTTGACTGAACCTCGGATCTCGCTGCCGCTAAGCGTGGCGTCGATTATCAAACGAGCGGTGACAGTAGCGGTGGCAGCGGCGGCAGCGTCGACAGGAGCACCTACTGCAGCGTGAAATGTGAGCTGGGAGGCGGGAGGCAGATGCAATAGGAGCGGGAGAGTGAGAGTCAGCCAGCACGGCAGACCTTTAAAGCGCGGCTGCGGGCGCGTTTGCAGTGACATGCGATCCATGTGGTAGCAAAGGCACGGCGGGAGTAGCGTATGCAGGCTGTGCGCGAGGGTGGCGCGTCGCGAGTGGCGGTGCAGCTAGTCGGTGGCGCGGGTGCTGGCGACCGGCAGAGAGATGCAGCCGGCGCGAGAGATGAACCCTGCGGAGAGGCGAGGTGACGGGCGAGCCGCGACCGTGGGAGAGGGCTGAGCATCGGCTGCACCGGAGGCACAGGAGCCTCGCACGCCCGACCGTGACGAGAGCGCCCTGACGCTGGCAGCTCAAGCAGCGTCAGGGCGCTACCAGCACCGAATGGGTACCCTCGGCCGCCGGACCTATTTTCGTCCAAGGGCCCCCCCCGGAGGGGGGGGAAGCTTCCCCCCCGGAGGGCCCCTACCTAGCAGCAGACCGCCCCCTCTACTCGGAGCTATAAGAGACATGAACACGACACGTACTCTCACACGACGTCACCGCTCAGGGCCCCTTCGCGCAAGGTCCTCATCCTCACTCCGGAGGAGGCTCCCCTCTCCTCTGAGTTCTTCCTCTTGTTCGCCTTCCGTTGTACGAGCGTAAAATTCTTTCAGCCTCCTGGAGATGGACATGGGAAGCCCACGCGAGCAGTGGCTGTGGCCGCACCCCCCCACACAGCTTTCTGAATGCTCGCCGACATTCAGCGTGCGAAGCTCGCGGCGCTGATCGAGTCGTCTGCGGCTCGCGCCGCCGAGATGTTGAAGCAGGAGGCAGAGGAGCACGAGGCAGAGGAGCACAACGAGACTACGACGACTCGAGACGAACACTTGCTCGACACCACCTCCTCGCGCTCTCACTCTCACTCCAGCCGCCGCTCCTCCTCGTCTCGCTCGCACTCGCACTCTGCTGGCCGACGCTCGCGGGCTTCCACCATGGGCCGCCGGCTCGGGCTCCTCTCGTCGGCGCTCAGCACGGCCAGGAGGGAGGAGGCGGCGCTGAAGCAGCTCTTGGCGCTGGCGACCGTGGGCCGCCGCTCACCCATCTCTGCCGTCGAGCATGCTGCCGCGGTCATCGCCCAGGCTGCCGCCCGGGCGAGGGCGAGGAGGCGACGCTTCGTGCGCTGCCGCGCCGCCGCCGTCCAGGTCCAGCAATGGATTCGCGCGCGCCGCTCGGGCGCGGTCAAGGAGTCTCCCTTCCAGGTGACCGTCCGGAGGCAGCTGGCGCTCGTCTCGCTGCTGCCTGCTGCGGGGACCACCGCCATCGCCGGCGTTATCCTCTGGATGAACATCGCGCACCAGCGGACGTCGACCGTGTGCCTCGGCCTCTCGCTCGTCGGCCTCGCCCTCTCCGCCGCGTGGCAGCTGCGCCCTCGCGGCGCGCGCGCCTGCCCCGCCTCTGGTCCCGAGGGTGCAGACGAGCGCGCCTCTCTCCACCGCAGCAGCTGTGAGCAGGCGCGCGGCTGCTTCGGGTCGGGCCGCTCGAGGTGCGCGAGACGACCGGCTTCGTCGTCCTCACCGTCGCCTGGGTCCTCCGTCACCTCGGCCGCCTCCACCTCATCCGCACCGACCCGCTCGCTGCCACCGCCGAGGCAGCCGTCGTCGTCAGGGTCGTCCCCTCCCTCTACTTTTACGCGGGCTGGCTCTTCGGCCTCCTGCCCCCCGCCTGGCGCCGCCACGCAGCCTAGACACAGCCGAGACGCAGTGCCGTGCGCCTGAACAGGCCTCCTGCCCGCCTCGCGCCGCGTCCGCCTCAGCTGCCTCGCCGCCGTCGCGCTCGCCTCGGCCGCCGTCCACGTCCATTTCGCGTCGCTGCGCGGCGAGTCGGTGGCGCGCTGGCTGGCGTGTGGCCCCGTCACCCTCCTTGCTTGCGCCGCGGCCGCGCGGATTGTCGTTCAGACCGCACTGCACCGCACGATGCAGCGCGAGCGGACGGTCTCCGAGATTGGCGCCGTGCTCGACCTGCACGGCCGCGGAGGCGAGGGCGGCGGCGGCGGCAGCGAGGCGATCGTCGATACGGCGCGCATCGAGCTGGAGTGGTCGCAGGGCGGATTGCGTGAGCGGAGCTGTCTCCCCCTCGGCGCATGCTCGCCCTGAGCCTTCTCGGATCCCCTCGGCGCAGGCCCGCTGCTACGGATCAACCTCTTCCTCGGCTGGTGCTCGGGCGCAGGGACACTCCTCTACCTCGTCAGCCAGAGCCGCGGCGAGACGGGCGAAATGCGGCGCGCCAAGGAGGCACAACCCGCGCTCGAGGCGACGTCGGTCCTGCCCGTCTTCGGGATCATCCTCGTCCTGCTCGTCCTCCCGCTCGCCCCGCTCCGCCACGTCCGCCCCGCCGCCCGCCGGCTGCCCGCCGTCATCACCGCCATCGTGTCGGGCAGGCTCGCCGCGCACCTGCTGGCGACGAACCGGCAGGTCGAGCTCGCCTCCCTCGCCTCCGGTCGCTTGCTGCCAGCGGTCGGCCGCCGTCTGTGGGTCGGCGCGAAGGAGGGCGCGGCGGGCGCGGCGGCGGCGGGCGCGGCGGGCGCGGCGGGGGCGGGCGCGGCGGGGTTGGCCTCGGAGTGCACCGATTGCTGGTACCTGACGTATGTCGCGCACGTGCACGTCGGCCTGCCTTACTACTTCATCGTGGGCGCCTTTCTCGCCACGCTGCCCGGGCCGGACTACTCGTGGCGCTGCGCGGCCCTCACCTCGTGCATGTGCGACCTGCCCGCCGCCGCCGGCGCACAGGGGCGCGTGCGGAGGTGAGAGACCGAGACGCCCCCCCCCCCCCCCCCCCCTCTTCCGTTGTCCGGCCGCAGGTGCGCTTGCCTGGCGCGCGACGCGCGAGTGGCGCAGGTTGCCCCACGGCTTGCCCGCTCAGCTTGCCCCACAGCTTGCCCGAGGCGGCGCCCCGGTGCGCGTTAGGTGACTGGCGAGTCGCTCGGCTTGCTCATGCTCGGTGACCCGGCGATGCTGCTCGTGGGCGCCGCATTTGCCAACCTCGGCGTGCGCGAGGCGTTCGGCGTCTCGTGGCGGCGAGAGAGGGCGTTGGCGGAGACAGAGGTGGCGCGGCGGCGCCAGTTGGAGGCGGAGGCGGTGCGGCAGATTGAGTTTGAGCGAATGCTGTACGCGCTGACGCACGGCGAGGAGGGCGAGGGCGCGGCGGGCGTGGAGGGGGAGGAAGAGGGGGGCGAGGCGGAGGACGGGGGCGAGGAGGATCCCGGAGAAGAGGAGGAGCCCGTCGGCGCGCACGACTTCCTCCTAGAGGACGGGAGCCAGGCCGCCCGAACGACATGTCGAAGACGCGTCGTCCACAACGCCGCCGCTTCCTCCGACCACTTCTCGTCTCTGGACACGCTGCCGCCCATCGTCGAGTAGAGCCGTGGCTCCCGCGCCGACTCGCCCTTCGGCACCTGCACCACGCGAGAGAGAGTGCAGCGTGCGGAGGAGCGGAGTTCACGCGCGGGGCTGTGCACGCTCCTGGCAAGGATCTAGGGTCCGGGGCTGTGCTCTTTTGTGTGAAAACCGAAGGTGCACTTCGCGACCACTAAAAGCGGAAGAAGAGCGGGGCGGGGATCGGCGATATTGGGGATGGGCATATGCGCATGGGGCGGGCGGCGTCCGGCGAGGGCTTGTGGCGTGTGGGCGGCGGTGGGATCTCTGGGGACCCCAGTTTCGGACTGAAACTCGAAGGGCGCGGCAGAGCCTCTGTCTCGAGAGGCGACGGGGGGAAAAGACCACGAAAAGACACTTTGCGCTTTGTGCTCGTACTGGGCTGGGTTTTTAGGCATTGTGGGGTTGGCACTCCCATCGACCCTCATGACCTCCTGCGGTCTTTGAGATGGACACCAGTGGGTGTGGGACCACAGCCAGGATACACTCGAAGGCTGGGTAAGCAGTAGAGGTCGATACTCGACGCGTCCCACATGGTCTGTGTCGCTGTCGGCACGCTGTCGACAGGACGTTGAGCGACACCGGTGGCAGTGCCACCCAGGAGTGGTCGGGCGGTCTCCCGTCATGAGAGAGTCACCATGTGATCCGTATGATGATTCCTGACAACCGCCTCAGTCAACTTTCGTCACAGTTCCCGCTCTGAGAGGAGCTGCGGGTCAGTTCGACAGCTGGAGCTGTGTCGCCGGCGTGCGGCAGCCTGCCTCCGGAGGTGCCTCTGAGGTGGACATTTTTTGGTCACCGTGAGAGAACGCGTTCGAATTTTCACTCCGGAACTTCAACTTCACACGCGCACCGGCCAGGGCTACAATAGTGCCAGTGAGGCGGAGGCGCGAGTCGGAAGGCCGCGACCGTGACTTGGTCCCTTCGTTGTCCTACAATCGCTGTGAACCCAGCCGTGGGGTTGGCACTCCCATCGACCCTCATGACCTCCTGCGGTCTTTGAGATGGACACCAGTGGGTGTGGGACCACAGCCAGGATACACTCGAAGGCTGGGTAAGCAGTAGAGGTCGATACTCGACGCGTCCCACATGGTCTGTGTCGCTGTCGGCACGCTGTCGACAGGACGTTGAGCGACACCGGTGGCAGTGCCACCCAGGAGTGGTCGGGCGGTCTCCCGTCATGAGAGAGTCACCATGTGATCCGTATGATGATTCCTGACAACCGCCTCAGTCAACTTTCGTCACAGTTCCCGCTCTGAGAGGAGCTGCGGGTCAGTTCGACAGCTGGAGCTGTGTCGCCGGCGTGCGGCAGCCTGCCTCCGGAGGTGCCTCTGAGGTGGACATTTTTTGGTCACCGTGAGAGAACGCGTTCGAATTTTCACTCCGGAACTTCAACTTCACACGCGCACCGGCCAGGGCTACAATAGTGCCAGTGAGGCGGAGGCGCGAGTCGGAAGGCCGCGACCGTCAAGTGTTTTCGACACTTCCCTACAATCGCTGTGAACCCAGCCACGTAGGTACCCGTCTCTTCGTGGGGACTTCGTGAGCGTCGCCGTGGCGCTGCCCTCGGGATCGAGAGAGTGACTGAGTAGTTGTGTCTGAGAAATCCATTTTATAGAATGAAAGTAAGTACTTAACACACCGAGAAGTACGAGGGCTACAGCCCGGCCGCCTCAAAAATCTGCACTGGGTGAGCTACGTACAACGTACACTCGGCCACAACAAACGAAGCATGCCATCATGGTAAAGGTATCTGATGAGAGAGAGCGCGGGTGCGGTGCTCATCCTCTCTATTCAACTCGATGCGATGCATCAGGGCTTGGTCTTGGAGCTCCCCGCCTTGCCCTTGCCCTTGCCCTTGTCCTTGCCGGCCGGCTTCTCGGGCTGGACCACCCCGTTGACCGCCGTCTCTCGTGCACGCTCTGCTGCCAGCCAGCCATCCACGATTGCCTTGCCGTTCATTGGCTGGCTCGTGCTCGCTGCGGCTGTTCCGCTTACGCTCTCATTTCCCCAGAGCCGCTTCAGGCCGCCCGTCCTGCCTTGCCCTCCCTTGCGTTTCGCTGCTTTCTTGTCTTTGGCCCTTTTGTGGTCCTCCTCCATGTGGTGCCGCGCCAGCATGATCGGGTTGATCACCAGCTCAGGGTCCTCCTCCTCGTTGGGCACCGCCTCCTGCGTCACAAACGTCTTGAGCGGCTCGTCGTTCGGCTTCTTCCGGCGCAGCTTGGGCGCAATCACCTTGCGCAGGTTCGTCTTCCAGACGGCGACCATCGCGCAGACCAGGCAGAGCACGGCGCCGCCGAGGCCGACGATGAGGTAGATGAGGGGGAAGGGCTCCACGGGTTCGGGCAGCGTCGAGCAGATCACCACGTCGGACCACGGCGACGCGCCGAGCGCGTTGATCGCGCGGGCGCGCACCTCGTACTCCGCCGCGGGCGTGGCGACGCCGTCGGTGAGCAGGGCGGCGCCGTCGCAGGCGGGGGGCGGCGTCGCGAGCTCGGAGGGAAGGCTGTCGAACAGCAGGCCGCCGCACGGATTCGTTAAGTCAGCAGCGCTGATGTTGGCTCTCGCCGCATAGTCGAGGAGTCGTTCGGCCGTCGGCCGCGTCTCAAACTCCCAATCGTCGATGTCCTTGCCGTTGGAGGTGACCTCGCCAGGCACGACGGCGAGCATGCTCGGGGAGCTGAGCGACTCGGAGCACGCAGGCAGATCGGGCTGGTCAGGGACGGTGGGGTTGGTCCACAGGAAGGCGACGTCCGACCAGTCCGAGGCGCCGATGCTGTTGGAGAAGCGGACCCTCATTTCGTACGACGTCGCCGGCTTGAGGTCGGTGGCACGGTACGAGCCGCCGCTGACGTCGTCGTCCACCACCTGCCCGTCGACCTCGAGCTCCAAAGCGGTGAGCTCGAGGCCGTGGTCGTCGACGCAGCCGTCCGGATCGCCGCGGCAGGCAGACGAGGGCGCCTCCCATCGCACCGTGAAGCTGACGGGGGTCACCTCCTCCCCAGTGTCGATCCTAGGCGCCGCCGGCTTGTCCGGGACGGCGTACGTGTGCGCCTCGCCCGCGTCCAGCACGGCGCTATCTGGGGACGGATCGCCGTCCGCGTTGCAGGTGGTGATGCTGATGGCGTAGCTCGTGCCCGGCTGCAGACCGCTCAGCTCGGCGGTGACGACCGCCTCGGGCCCGGCGCTTGACGCCGGCGCATTTGCCACAGCCGAGCAGCTGTCTGCCCCTGTCACAGACTCGCCGCCTGAGCCGACGCCGACCGTCGCCGCCGCCCCGGGGCCTGCGTACGTCACGAGGAAGCCCGCGATCGCGATGCCGTGATCGCGCGGCCTCAGCCAGCCGAGGCGGAAGGAGTTGTCGGTGATGTCGGCGAGCGAGAGGCATTGCGGCTCTTGCGGCGGCCCCGGCGGCATCCTCACGACTGGCAGCTGCAGAGGGGTGGCGGATGTCCCCTGGCTGGTCCTCGACTGGACACTGACGGTGTAGTTTGTGTTTGGCGTGCCACCAGTCACGTTGAACTCGCAGAGCCTGCGGCCGCCCTGCACCTCCGAGCAGCTGATGCTGCCAGTGTCAACTTCGATGGGCTGTGGCGCCTCGACGGTGCAGCCCTCCTGCTGCAGCCGCCGCCCCACTGAGCTCTCGAGGATCGGCTCGAGTATGATGTCAAAGCCGTCCCAGGTGCTGTTTGCCGGCATCTCCCAACGGACCTCGACGGCGGCGGGGCCCAGCGGCACCGCCTCCGGGTTCTGGGGCGGCTGGGCTGATGTCGTGGGGGAGCGGCTGCACGTGATTGGACTAGACCAGTCCGACCATCCCTTCGAGTTCTCTGCGCGCATGCTCACGCTGTAGTCTCGGTAGTTGACGAAGCCAGTTTCGTTTCGGGTTAGCGTGAGGCTCGCGTCGTCGATCGCCGGCTTCTCGAAGACGTCCACCCTGGCCGTCGATTCGCCTGAGGCGGTCTCCTCCGTCTCGACCTCGATCTTGGTGATGTCCAGCCCGTTGGTCACGAGGGCGCCCTTGACCAAGGTCAGGTGATCGGTCCCCTCGACCGGCGCCCCGCAGCTGTTCTGGTCAAGGACGGGCTTGCTGGGCGCTTCGGGGACTGAGTTTAGGTAGGCGAATTCCGACCAGTCCGAGGCGCCAAGGCTGTTGAAGACGCGCACGCGCACCTCGTACCGCCCGCCGGGCTGCAGCTGTTTCACGGTTGAGGTGGTCACGCTCAAGGGACTCGTGGCAACGCCTTCGAACTCGAGCTCCGACTTGGTGACTGCAAGGCCGTGATCATAGGGCAGCTGCCACTCAATGTCGAGGCTGGTGCTGGTGCTGCTGCCAAGCGACGGCGGGTTAGGCTTGTCGGGCACATCGTGCGTGTGCGCATTTTTCTTCGCTTCGGAGGACGCGCCGAGGGAGTTGCACGCGACCAGGGAGGTGTTGTAGGTTGTGCCCGATTGCAGGTCGACTAGCTCAGCCTCGAGGGTCCCGGCGGACGCCAAGGTCGCGGCCGGCACCTGCTTGCAGAGCAAGTCGTCGCTCAGAGCCACATCCCGACTGTCCGGCTGCTCCCCGTTGCGGTCGAGCAGCACCGCGCCCTCGCCTACGCCTGCTGCTGCGTATCGAGCGACGTAGCCGGTGATGGCCTGTCCGTTGTTGCACGCTAAGGTTGTGCAGCGTGACCACCTCAGCGTGAACGAATTCTGCGTCGGCAGCACCAGGTAGTTGGCAGGTTTCTGCGGCGCGCTCTCGAGGGTCGTCGCCGTGGAGTCTTCGGAAATCACGGATGACTCGCTGTACGCACCCCCTTTGCCCGACTGGATGGTGACGGCATATTCCGTGCTTGGCAGCAAGCCAGAGGCCCGGTATGAGCATTTCCACACTTGGTCGAATACCGTGCAAGCCGGGGGTTCCGAGTCGCGGAGGTTCCACACGTCCTTCGGATTGTCGCAGCCGTTCGCGTTGCAAAACGTGATCTTGACGTCGTCCCATTCGTCGTCTTGACCCGTCGGCAGCTCCCACTCCACGTCCATGAAGCTCGGCCCTATCTTGGACGTCGGCAATTTCACGTTGACCGGCACTGGCGCATTCGACTTGGCGGCATCGATCACGAGCTCGTACGAGAAGGTGCCATTCCCGACGGTCGAGACGGCCCTCGCCTTGAAGCGGTACTGCGAGTAGACGTCGTACGCCGGCGGAGAGTACTCGATGTAGCCGTTGGTGAGCCTCCCATTCACCTCTCCCGCCTCGATTGAATCCATCAGCGTGCCTCTCTCGTAGATTTCGTACCGAGTGATGTCGCCGCCGCCGCTACGTTCCGGGGAGAGTTCGCGGATGCCGATGGTAATGTTGGACGGGAGGAGCTTGCCCGCCGGCTCCGTGCGCAGCAGAGCCGGCGTGTCGAGGCGGTCCGGCACCGAGCTCGCCGTCGCCAGTTCTACGGTCGCGGGTTGGCTGTCGCCTTTCTCATTCTTGGCGACGACGCTGAACTCGAACGTCTGACCGGGGTAGATGCCTTCCGTCGTAAAGTAGTAGTCCATCCTGGGGCTCTCAGACGATGGATAATTGCCCAAGCACTTGTAGGCGAGCACCTCCCGACGATTGCCACTGTTGGTGACGTCGTCGACCGTGAGGCAGTACTGCTCGATGGGCTTACCGCCGTCGTTTTCCGGTCGGTTCCACTCGACGTGAATCTGGGACGACGCCAGGGGGCTGCCGCCGGCGACCCCGTCGCCCCGCCTGAGGTTCCTCGGAGCACTCGAGGCAACCGCCGGCGGCGATGTTGGCGGCGGCGAGGGCGGTGGCGGCACGGGCGGCGGCGGCGAAGGGGGCGGCGGCAAGGGCGGCGGCGGCGAAGGGGGCGGCGGCACGGGCGGCGGCGGCGAAGGCGGCGGCGGCAAGGGCGGCGGCGGCGAGGGCGGCGGCGGCACGGGCGGCGGCGGCGAGGGCGGAGGCGGGTTGGGTGGTGGAAACGAAGGCGGATGGGGGGACACGTTGGGCCAGAAAGGCGGCGCCGAGGGCGGCGGCGGCGAGGGCGAGGCAGACGGAGGCGGCGGCGAGGGCGGCGGCGATGGCGGCGGCGGCACGGGCGGCGGCGGTGAGGGCGGCGGCGGCGACGGTGGCGGCGGCGACGGTGGCGGTGGCGACGAGGGTGGTGGCGACGAGGGTGGCGGCGGCGAGGGCGACAGCGAGGGCGGCGGAGGCGATGGTGGCGGCGGTGAGGGCGGCGGCGGCAGCGAAGGAGGCGGCGACAACGGCGGCGGCGGCGAGGGCGGCGAACTTGGCGAGGGCGGCAGGGAGGGCGGGTCGTGGTGGCCTGGCGACCATGGCGGCGGCGGAGGGGAGGGGGGGGCGGCAGGGGCGGCAGGGGTCGTGAGGCTCTGCTCGTTGGACGGGTCGGATGTGCCGGCAGCGTTGGTTGCAAAGACCTGGACGGTATAGTCGGTGCCTGGCTGAGCTGTAAAAAGTTCGGGCGAGGTGGCTTCTTGCTGCCATGACCTGCAGCTGATGGCACAGTCTCCCTCGGTGATCCGTAGTTCGTACTTGTCCGCAGGCGCGCTGGGGCCAGAGCCCGCAGACCACCTGATATCGATTGAGCCGAAGCTGGGCACCGTGACCTCAACCTGGCTCGGCGTGGCCGGCCGGAGGTCCGTGGGAGTCACGGTGGTCGCCTCGGACCACTCGCCGGGGCCGAGGCTATTGTACGCGCGGACGCGAAAGTCGAAGCTCTGCGATTGATACGTGTACGAGTACGACGCGTCGGCGATGTCCCTGCACTTGCTATCGTTGGGACCGCTCCCACAGTCCGTCGGGTTTCCCCACTGGCCCGACGTCTTGACCTGCCACTGGTACTCGGTGATGGGATCGCCGTTGTCGGCTGCTGCACCAGAGAGCTTCAGCTTGACGTCTGGCAGCGTTCTGTCGAAAGCGGGAGCGTCGGGCGCCTCCGGCACCGATGCCTCGGTGATGAAGGAGACTACGTCTGACTCCTCACCGAATCCATCGACGTTGCCAGCGGAGACGGTCAAAGAGTAGTTCGTCGCGCTGCTCAGGCCGGTGACGGAGAGCAAGTACTCTTCCCCTTCGCTGAAGGCGGCACCTGTGATGAGGTCGAGCACGTCAACGCCGCCCGTCCCGCTGTTGGTGAGCGTGGGCTTGAAGACTGAGATCGCAGTCGTGCCCAGGGTGGGGAAGCTGTCCTTCGGCTGGACGAGCCACTTGAAGAAGGCGGCGGCGCTGGTTTTGTTGACAAGGCTCACTACGGGAGCTGGCGGCTTGAGGTCGCCGCTCGAGGTGGT